GATTGCTAAATCCTAGAAACAAAAACGTTTGTACAAAATAGTTTTGTGTTTGTACAGTCAAAGGCAGACACTGCTATTTTTTTGAACACACCCTTTTTAACTAATTGCCCAATTGCACAGCCTTAAGAGCGTGCATATCATGAATGCTGGGTCTTGTTTGCTTTCTGAGAATCTACTGCACCTACTGGTAACTTGTTTGCCATGTAGCAATAAAAAATATACTAAAAACCTGGATTATTCTGGTTAGTCACATTGTACTGCTATTATTTTGAACAATACTGTATGTGTGAATATTTCTGTAACTTGTATTGATGGCTCTTTATTTTTGGTTTTCATTCATTTTTACTATAAAAGGAAAATATCAGAATTTTTTTATAAACTGCTTTTAGTGTTGACTTTATGTTTGCACACTCCCAAGACTTTTTCCAACTACGTGAGAACACGGTTTACCAGTTTATATAAAATGTGTTTTCTTATGAGCGCAGCTCAAAATAAGCTGTGGAGAAAACACTAATAACCTAGTTAAAATGTTCCAGAGTCCACTGAAGTAAATAAATAATTAAATAAATAGATCATTTGATTGTCTACCGATCACCTACAGAATCAATTTTAAAGCACCACTGCTAGTTAATAAATGACTCAGTGTTATGAGGCCAAATACATGTCCGACCTCCTTGAAGAATCCAAACCCAGAAGGGATCTGAGATCCTTAGGAAGAAGCTGGCAGAACCTCGAGTCAGAGCCAAACAGGGTGATGCTGCTTTTAGCTACGGAGCTACACACAGATGGAGCCAACGTCCTGATGACCTTAGATCTCCCCAACTCTGACACTTTCACATCCAAACTGAAAACTCTGTTTTTCTTGTGCCTTTGTTTGACTGGTTTCTCTGCTGCACTGTTGCATTCAGGGCAACTCACAACTTATTACTGTACTGCAACTTCTTTATGTTTCTGACCCTCTGTCTATTTGTTTTTATGTTCATTGTATGTATTTTATTTCTTTTTAACAATGTTTAATTATCCTTTTGTCTTAACTGATTTTATTCTGGTGTCTGATGCTTGTAATGCTGGTTTTGTCAATGTAAAGCCCTCTGTCTCTGTGTTTGAAATGGGCCTGTAAATGACTGAAAAGTGCTTCCTGAGCTTCACAAAGTTAAACGAAGAAAGGCTGATTTTCATATGGACATTTAATGGAAACCAACAGCTGCCTGGTAGATGGGACAACACCTAATGTTCAAACACGAGGTCTGCTTTGGAAAAGAGTTGCCATTCATGTCAAACTTATTATACAAATGACATGAGATAAAACAGCACTGTCATGGCACATGATGCCCACATATACTGTATCGTACATTTTGGAAGACTAATGACAAAGGTTTCTAAGAAAAGGTAGAAATACAGTTTCAAACGTAAACAGGACCTTTACTAATTAATTTGCATTAAATTAAATGACCATCTGGTTTCATCTGTGTGATTGTTAACAGAGTTCATCTGGTGCCAAAGGTACAGTGTGATACTGAGTGGAGCTGCTCATACCTGCAGGGGACTCTGTCCCGACTCGTCCAGAGACACCGTGTTGACGTCTGTTGTCTGCTGCTCTCTGACCTCTCCCTCTGCCACTGCAACCTCAGGCTGAACACTGCTTGTTGACACATCTTTAGTTGAGCTCTGGCTTCGCTCCTGTGCCTGTCCTCTTATTTCCAGCAGAACCCTGTTCACAGCACCCATGGCAGCTTCGCGGCACAGAGCCATGAGATCGGCGCCCACGTAGCCCGGGGTGAGCCGGGCCAGCTGCTGATAGTCAATGTCCTCTGGCAGCTTCAGCTTTCGACACAGTGTCTTCAAGATCCTGACAAAGCACAAAGCATTCCGTTTAAGTGTTTAAAGCTTAGGAATATCAACGCTCTGAAGCTGTGATCATGTCAGAGAGCAATTTACTGGACATATGACTTGAATACAACTCATGGAGGACTACTGATACAGTTATACTGAATTAGGTAAATAAGATGCAGCTGTTTCTTGGCTAGATAAATCACTAACCTCCTCTACTGTTAGTACACAGGCCATGTCAGCTCTTCTGTCCATCTAGCCGTTTGCCCTGGACCAGCACTTGTGACAAAGTGGGTGAGAACACTCCACTTGTCCCTAGGTTAAGTCATGGATGTTTCTTAATGCCTTAACCTGTGTGTCATCTTCTGCTCATACAAAAAAAAAAAGTCAAACTGCAATGACATTTCAACTCTTTCCATTTTGTCACCTCATTAACTTTCCCGATGCACCATTCTCAGTCCCCATTGTAAATAACTGTAATTCTGAAACGGGATCTTGTAGTTACAGATCCTGCTCCCTGCATACCGTGTGTGTGTGTTTGCTGACATGGATGAATGCTGAATATCAAAGAATATACACATCAACAGTATGTTAGTGATAAACGAATTAATCGGGACAGAGTTTAGCCATTTGATTACTTGTAATTTAAAATGAGTGCAGCATGTTGGAGTTAACCAAATAAGTTCAGCAAATATTGTCTCTTTGTTGTTATTAAACTGTTTTATTTCATCTGATACAGAAAAAAAAAAACAACATGATATTGACATTTCATATTGAGCATCAGTCTCCTGGAAAGATCGGCGTCAGCCATTGAATAATCTATATCAGTCCCCACTACTGTATGTGAAGATGACTAAATGATGTATGTACACTTGTGACAAAGTGGGTGAGAACACTCCACTTGTCCCTAGGTTAAGTCATGTATGTTTCTTAATGCCTTAACCTGTGTGTTAAATGTTTGATTGTACCGTATTTACTAGGTTAATCACTTCCTCATCCTGTACGCTCTCTGATGTCATCAAGGATGTCATAGGGTTGATTGATACCAGGAGCTACAGTCATGTGAAAAAATTAGGACACCATTTGAAAGCATGTGTATTTTGTAACATGTTTTAATATATGGTTATTTAATCTCAATTTTAACAATACAGAGAGATTAAAGTAATACAACTAAACAAGTAAAACTGAAGAAAAAGTCTTTTCAAGATCTTCTGTAAATGTAATTCTACAAAAATGCCTATTCTAACTGAGGAAAAAGATAGCACACCCTAGCCCCTAATAGCTAGTGTTACCTCCTTTGGCTGAAATAACTGCAGTGAGACGGTTCTTGTAGCCATCTACCAGTCTCTGACATCGGTCTGAGGGAATTTTACCCCACTCCTCAATGCAGAATTGTTTCAGCTATGAGATGTTTGAGGGGTTTCTTGCATGTACAGCCCTTTTCAAGTCACCCCACAGCATCTCAATGGGATTCAGATCTGGACTTTGACTCTGCCATTCCAGGA